GGACCAGTCACAATGCGGTGCTTTTCCCACTCATTCCCAGTCAGACTCACTTCAGCCTCCAATACAGTCAACTGCTGAGATCCCCCTGTCACTCCACAAATATAGATGGGCTCTGGTCCTTTATAGCTCGATGGCATTATAGTACATTGTGCACCAGTGTCTACTAAAGCCTTATACTTCTGTGCGTGTGACGTGCCAGGCCATCGAATCCACACAGTCCAATAAACTCGATTGTCCCTTTCCTCCCCCTGGCTGGAGGCAGGGCCCCCCTAATCCTGGTCAGAATCTTCTTCGTTTCTGTGTTTGAAGGACTGTCTGCTGGAAGTTGGAGCAGCAAACTTTTCAGAGAATCCCTTTTTCCTGATTGTTTTCTTTTGCAACTCACGTACCCGTGCCTCTAGGGTCGCAGTAGATTTTCCATCCCATTTTCTCATGTCCTCTCCATGGTCTCGTAAGTAAAACCACAGGGTGGCACGGGGTGAGTACCCACCATATCGTCTTCCTTGTGTGGGTGAACGCCTACCCCTGACAGCTGAGACACTGCTTTGTACAGGTACAGAGGAGAATAATCTCTCTTCAAGTTGGTGAACCTTTTCAGAAAGTTTCTCCCAAGTGTTCTCTTTTGGTCGTTGGACACTGGTTGGTTCAGGTTGGGGGGAAGATAGATTCTCTTTAAGTTGGTGGACCTCTTCAGACAGTTTCTCCACAGCTGAGACGCAGGCCTGTAAGGAAGAGGAGAGACTTTCTTCGTACTGCCGGAGTTGTTTAGCCGCTTCATCCACTGTGGGTTCCTCATCCTCTTTCCAGGCCATTACTGCCAATGAGCTGGCATATGATGATGGTGCACTCCGTACAAACTTCCGCCACATGGGTCGTGTACACTTGACTCCATCTGGATCTTTGGATGTTTGTGTCTGGTCTGGATCCTCATAAATCACTTCCCGTACGGCTAATTCCCTCAGGTACTGGATTCCCTTCTCCATAGTGGTCCACTTGCCTGGTACACATAAAATATCTTCCTTGAAGGGATACCTTTCCCTCACAGCTGAGAGGAGACGCCTCCAGAGGCTGGTGGGTCGTGCTCCATCTGCAATTGCTTTGTCAATGCCGGCGTCTCGAGCAAGGGATCCCAACCGTCTGGCTTCCCTGCCGTCTAATTCCACACAATTGGCTCCAGAGTCCCAGCACCGGAGCAGCCAGGTGACAAGCTGCTCACCTATACAGCGACCAAAATCTTTTCGCACATCTCGTAGCTCGCGCTCGTTTAGGCTTCGCGTAGTTACTGTTGCTCTTTCGGCATCCTCATCTTCCTCCTCCTGAATCCTTGATGGCCCAGCGTCGTCATCATCTTCGTCATCTCTATACTTAGTTTTGGCAGAAGCCTTACCTGGATTGGCAGAAGACTCTCTGCGTTCTAAACGACTTGAATTTCTGTACCATATTTTCACCTTCTCTACAGGGGCAGCTTGCACTGCTACTGCTCGTTTCTCTGACTTTGTTACAGGGTCTGCCACAGGGATTGGAATACCCTCTGCAGGGTCAACTTGCACTGCTACAGCTCGTTTCTCTGACACGGCCACAGGAGCTGGAGCGGCTGCAGGAGCTGGAGCAGTTGCAGGAACCGGAGCTGTAGCGGCTACAGGAGCTGGAGCTGGAGCTGGAGCAGTTGCAGGAGCTGGGACTGGAGCAGCAGTAGGAGCTGGAGCTGGAGCGGCTGCAGGAGCTGGAGCTGGAGCTGGAGCAGTTGCAGGAGCTGGGACTGGAGCAGCAGTAGGAGCTGGAGCTGGAGCGGCTACAGGAGCTGGAGCTGGAGCTGGAGCAGTTGCAGGAACTGGGACTGGAGTAGCGGCCGGAGCTGAAACTGGAGCGACTGCAGGAACTGGGACTGGAGCGGCTGCAGGAGCTGGAGCTGGAGCGGCTGCAGGAACTGGAGCTGGAGCGGCTGCAGGAGCTGGAGCTGGAGCGGCTGCAGGAGCTGGAACTGGAGCGGCTGCAGGAGCTGGAGCTGGAGCGGCTGCAGGAGCTGGAACTGGAGCGGCTGCAGGAGCTGGGACTGGAGCGGCTGCAGGAGCTGGGACTGGAGCGGCTGCAGGAGCTGGAGCTGGGGCGGCTGCAGGAACCGGATCTGGAGCGGCTGCAGGAGCTGGGACTGGAGCGGCTGCAGGAGCTGGGACTGGAGCGGCTGCAGGAGCTGGAACTGGAGCGGCTGCAGGAGCTGGAACTGGAGCGGCTGCAGGAGCTGGAGCTGGGGCGGCTGCAGGAGCTGGAGCTGGGGCGGCTGCAGGAACCGGATCTGGAGCGGCTGCAGGAACCGGATCTGGAGCGGCTGCCGAGTCCACCGTAGGGGTCACAGTGGCCGTTGGATCTGTCACAGGGCTTGGAGTGGCCGCAGGGTCTGTCACTAAGTTGATAGCAGTATCAATGGCAGCTCGATAGGCATGAGCCAGGCCCCAGCACGTTACAATGATTTGTGTTACTTTAGAACTGCCAGAATCATGACACCTTTTTTTCAAGCATTCTGCCAGTTTTTGAGGATTTTGCCATTGTTCAGGGGTGAATTTCCAACACACTGGGGGTGCCAACTGCTCTAGATGCCTGCCCATATCCGCCCATACTCCCTGCCACCCACAACTATCCTGCCCCCGGGCAGATCTCCAGAAGAGCTTCCCAAGTAGTTGTTTAACTTTAAGCAGAACCTGAAGTGCATTCATGAGGCAGAACAACAAGACTATGGTACTCTAAGTATTCCAGAAATATTCAATATCTTGGAGAGCTATTGTGACAAGCTCAGGGGATAAGAGGGTGGTGAAGGAGGAAGGCAGAGTGACCCAGGAGGATACAGGGGTGGTGAAGGAGAAAGGGAGAGTAAGCAAGTAAGGAAAAATATCCTCCCCTTTCCCCTCCACAGATTGACTCCTTAATGGAAAAAAACAATAGGTATAATTGCTAATAGTTTCCAAGATACAGTTTCCAAAGTACAGAGTCGACGATGTTACTGAATACAAATAACAAGTTAGAGTCATGACCACATATTTCATCGTCTCATAAGCCATTGCTACAACACACAGCACCATAATGATCTGAAACCAGGGCCCGGAGAGGATAAACAACACGACAGAGAGTAAATACGGAAAATAATGTACTATAATACTCAATTTGGAAAACAGGCGCAGCAAAGTTGAGATTAAAGCAATCAGCATTATGACAAGTGACTATTAAGCAGGTCTAATCCTTACACCAATTTTAGTTTAACACACTCTGGTCAGATCTGCCGTTATCTCAACCTTTCGGGCCCCACGTTGGGCGCCAAAAAGGCTGTCGTGGTTTAACCCGGCCGGCAGCTAAACACCACGCAGCCGTTCGCTCACCCTCCCCCCTCCCTCTCCGGGACGGGGGAGAGAAATGGAAAGTGAAGCCCGTGAGTTGAGATAAAGACAGTTTAATAAGACAGGAAAATAATAATAACAAAATAATAATAAAAATAATAACAATAATAATACAATGATGATAATAGGAAAGTAATAATAGTATGTACAAACAAGTGATGCACAATGCAATTGCTCACCACTCGCTGACCGATGCCCAGCCTAACCCCGAGCAGTCCGGCCCCCTCCCCCCGGCTAGCCACCCCTATATATTGTTTAGCATGACGTCAGATGGTATGGAATACCCCTTTGGCTAGTTTGGGTCACCTGTCCTGGGTCTGTCCCCTCCCAGCTCTTACTGCACCCCCAGCCTGCCCGTTGGCAGGACAGAGCAAAAGGCTGAGATGTCCTTGGCTTAGTATAAGCACTGCTCTGCAACAATTAAAGCATCGGGGTGTTATCAGCACTCTTCTCATCCTAAGCCAAAACACAGCATTCCACCAGCTACTAGGAAGAAAATTAATTCTGTTCTAACTGAAACCAGGACAGGGGAGGAATGCAGAACTTTGAGGTTATCCCTTGAGGCTTAGTGCTGCAATGCAACAGTCAAACGGTTGTCTATTGTGGGTCTGATTAGGCATATGGGCTATCCAAAAGAGATAACGGTGTCAGGGTAAGGTCATTTGTAGCAGGCTGAGCGACCATGCAACCCATTCCGAAATCTGTGTCTCGGTCGCTTTTCTGCTGCATTACCCAGGCAAGTCAGTGAAATTGATGCCTCATCCTTGTTGCAGTTGCTCACAGTATAGATACAGACTGAATCTATGTGAGATGCAGAGCGTGCGTTAATCAACCAAGTTGATTAGGTACTGAGCTGCCTTTCTCCTGGTAGCCAGGGCTGCTTCTAAGCTGTGCTGAGTGTTTGTTGTTGAGAAGCTAATGGAGTCTCTCAACTTCTGGCAAGCAGCTTCCTGGAACCCTGCCCTGGTTCCCGGGTCCTTGCAGCGGGGCTGGAAAGCCTGGCTGTGTAAACTGCTGGAGGATGCAGTAGAGGTCACTTGGCATCACGTCCTTGTTTGCATCCCTCATCCCAGCAGAGCCTCTGCTCTGCTCTCTAACCCTGGTGACAAGGAATGCAGGTTTCACAGAGGATGTGGAACAAGCTGCAGAGATGGCACTACCAGAGCTGGACAACTGTGATAACCATGCAGTCTCCTTACCGCTCTCGCAGCTGCACTGTGGAGCTTAGTGCCTCTGCTGCCTGGGCATTCCAGGAATTTGAGTGAGGAAGGAGCCTGTCAGCTGCCAGGCAGTAAGTCATGCTGTCTTTCCCTCTTTCACCCATCTCTGACTTTGCAAATTAGTCCTAATCCTTCATTTAGCTGCAGCTGAAATACTGAGGGCCACAATTAACAACTAGTCTGAGCTGGAAGACGCCAAGTTCTTTAATATAACTTAACTCAGTGGTGGAAAAAACTGTAGTCAGTACAGGCTTTATTAAAAGATCACTGCACTGCAGAAGAGAGTATGATGAACTGTGCTCTTGGACTGTTTTGGCTTACTTGACTGTTCTGTCTCACTCTGAATAGATATTTGGAACAGTTTCCTTAACCATTGCTTTGCTGTTTGTTTCAGATGTAAATCTTGAATACAGTTTAACTGATGAGTATTGCAAGCATCATTTCCTGGTGGGGATGCTTCTCAGAGAAGCCTCTGTTGCCTTGCAGGACAACTATGATATCAGATATACGGCCATTTCAGTCTTAAAAAATCTCTTGATAAAGCACGCCTTCGACAACAGATACCAGCACAAGGTCAGTCATATTTTGTTGGCTTTTAAATGTAAAGTTCTTGAATTTTATGAAAAATCTTACATCAGAATTTTAGATCTTGCACGGTGCACTGAGGGTGTTCTCATTACTGTTTAGGAAACTGTTTTAAGTAACTGATATTTATGACATTACAGAAATAGCTCTGAGAAATGGTCCAGGAATACAAATAATTCAGTAAGATAACTGCAGCGCTCTTATCCATGCTGAGTATTTAGATAAAGCTCTGAGCCAGTAAGGAACCTGAGAGTGTCGTTAGCCAAGAGGCTGTTCAAAGTTAAGCAATGGCAATGTTCTTCTGGTCTTGGGCTTAAATTAATATACTGCATTAATATACTATAATTAGGAAGCAGGACAGATCTCTGTTACAAGTCAGCTGCATGTTTGGCTAATTAGTGAATCAAGAGAAGATCTGTGGATTCTCATGAGACGCTGGATTTCCGCTGAGGAGCTTTCAGCTTTCTTTGGTCAGAGGTTCAGCATGCAGTATTGGTGAAAGCGACTGGAGGTGGACTTGTTTTCTTTCTGGTTGCTGATCTCTCCTAAGTACGTGACCTTGAAAGTACAGGGCTACCTGTCTAAGTACTACCTGTCCTTGCTGTAGGCTGAAAACAAGCCTCTTTTTAGAGTTTAGCTCCTAAAATTGCTCCTAGTTTGCTGCTGTCTGGGTTTTATCTGGGAATATGGATACTATCCTGGGCATGAAGGGTAAAAATGACCCAAATGTGCTAGGGACTCCTACCCCTCTGCATGGACAAGAACCAGCTCCTCTCCTCTCCCATCTCTGCGTCTTTGGCAGCATCACTAGATGGACTGAGCAGGAGATGGTCTTGTTTTTCTCTGCAGCAAGGATTTCTGGTGACTTGTACAGCCTGGAAACAAAACCACAGCACGTGGTAGTTGGCCAGACTTGGTGTAACAGGAGAGATTTGCCAGCTGTCTGCCAAGGCTGGGTCAGAGGCAGCCTGTTTCTGCTCTTTTGGGTGCCTGAAAACCCTTATGCTAATCAGAAGATGTTTGCCTCATCAGTGTGCAGCCTCTTCAAAAATACCATGTGCCTTAGAATTGTCCCTCTGGATTTTTGTACATGTGGTGCTCTCAGCTTCATGGCCAGGAAGCTGTCTGAAGCCAGGGCATGATGCTCAGCTGGTGTCCTGGGAATCAATTGCATTGCAGGCAGGATAGGCTGACCGTGGCAGGGTCTGTTGCTGCAGTCTTGCTCCAGCCAAGCAAACCTCAGCTTTATCGATGCCTGAAAGAGGATTTGCTCAGCCTGTGATCATTTTCAAGATTTCTTGTATCATTTCTCATACTGAATCAGAAGAAAATGTTGGATTCTTGTATCAGTCAAAATGCACCATTCGATTTGCAAGCCTTAGATACCTTTTTCTAACCTTTCTGTCAAGTCCAGAATAATCAATTTTTATCAAGAAAAGAATTGGTTGTCAAATAGTGCTGCATTTAGAAAAGCCAAACAGACTATTTTTGATCATTTCAAAAGTTTAAAAACAAGTCTGTATCAGTTAATTCAAGTTAATCTTTTCATACAAACTGTTCTAACTAGGAGCATTTGTTACAGAGAATTCCCAACTGGAAGCAATAGTCAGCACCAGGCAAAAAGCGAACGTTTTTAGTTCATTGCTCCTGAGTGTTGCACTTGAAAATCAAGCCATGTGAGTGAAGTGCCAGTTAAAGAGTTAGGAAATCCGGGATTTAGTTTGTCACACTTCCTGTATGACTGTGAATGTCATTCAGCCCCCAAAATCCCTGACTTCCCAAAGCTTGTAGCTAAAAGGGTAATATCCACTGGTAGCTGGAGAAGTGGTGATGAGAACTCAAACCAACCCATGCCTTCAGACACCATATAGAGTGTAAATATATATGTATGTATGTATGTATACATTTCGGCTAAAGAGTTTCCCTTTTTCACTGTAGAAAGCCTGGACTCTTACCTACGTTGTCCTCCCTTTTTTTCAGAACCAGCAGGCAAAAATAGCCCAGCTCTACCTGCCGCTCTTTGGGCTGCTCCTGGAAAACATCCAGCGAGTGGCCGGACGCGACGTGCTCTCCTGCGCAGCCGCCTCCAGCCCTGTGAGTGCAGCCCTGTGACCCCACACCACTCCCCCCTGCACCTCCTCTCCCTGCGCACCCTCAGTTTTAACTCCCACCACCTGCAGCTAGCCTTAACTGTGGATACACGTTTTTTGTGTTTTTTTTTTTTTTCTCCCCGCCATCCACTAATGTGCTTTTTTATTTAATTTGGCATTTCCTGTGACTTTGCTCTGTCTGCTGTACTTCTGGTTTGCTTGCTATTGTTCAGTGTATTTCTTTACAGCATGTGTAGTGCTGTACGGTGAGGTAAGTCCCTCCAGCTGGAGTGAGTTGGACCAGGACTCAGCCTCAGCCTCCAGTAGCTTTTCCGGGAACTGTCTGCCTGCCTGAGGGATCTGTGTGGACTCAGCCTTACAGACTAGGCTTTCCTCCTTGTTTAAGGCAAAGTGACAACAACAGCAAAGATATTTAAACAATAATAATTTCAAATCAAGTGATGAAACATGAAAGGGATAACACTGACATCATTTCCTTTAATATGTTTTACTGTTCCCCAAGTCATTTGTCTCCTTGCCGTGGGTGAAAGGAAATAGATTTATTTTTGTTTCATCTGCATTTTAAAAGTTGCCCTAATTTTCTTTTTTATTTCATTATTCTGTTCTATAGAAGAATTGGTATTAGCTCCCATTGGTCACAACAAAACTCATATTGCTTTACAGGCATCCAGAGATGAATTCATGTGCAGTTTTGCATCCCCCTCAAATAGATCCAGCCTGATTGCAGACAAAGATACAGGTAAATTAACTTTTCTAAAACATTGCTTTTGTTTTTATTTTCAGTGTAACTATCACCAGTCCTTGGTAGGCACAGCTGGTAAACAGCTCTCTCCCAAAATCTGAAATAGCCATCTGCTCAACAACTTCTAAGAGCTTGCATGCTTTTCCCAGGATGTGGTGGGACCCTGTGTGTCCTTTCCAGATGAACCAACTTTAAACAAAGGATTTCTGCATGCCCCATCTGTACTGTCCAAATTGCATCCCTCATTTGTTGTCCATGATGCACTGAGGAGTGTGGGTGCAAACCGTGTCATTTTGGGTGTTTTTTTTTGTTTTATTGTCCAGCCAGTGGAGCAGCACTTCCAAATGGCCATGGGATAAAGCGAGAGGACTCAAAAGGATCCCTGAACTCAGAAGGGGCAACCAGTTCACCGGATCAGTGTGAAAATGTAATGTATCTGGGGTTAGAAAGGATGGCATTTACTGCACCAGAATGTGGGCTGTGTGCAGGCTGTTTTAGATAAGGGGGAGGGAAAAGGACTTCCTCGTGGTAACAAACTCAAAGAACAGCTTATAAAAACCTCTCTTTGGAAACAATCAGATTCACGTTTCATAGTGGAGGTCAGACTCACTGGTCTGGTATGCCTTCCCTCTTTAAAAATCTCTGAGCTAAAAATATAACGGCTGACAAATTATGAAATATGAAAGCCAAAATCCATGGGGAAAGTCCATCTGCATATATCGATGTGCAGATGCATTCCCTGTGCTTGGATGGGTCTGAGCTGGTCAGTGCCTGGTATGTGGCACTGGGAACTGGCTTCCACACACGGCTGGGCGGTAAAGTGCCATGACGTGAGGTTACCAGTGACTGCTGACTCCAGAAAAGATGAGATATTTGTAGGAAAATCAGCACAGGTTAATAACCACAGTCCCAAACTTGCATAAGGTGACCGTGGTCACACCAAAAAGAGGTCTGGTCCAAATATTCATATAGTGTGTACTCTCTTTGGCAGATTGCACAGATGGAAATCAGGTATCTGTGCAGACCAGCCCCTGGTTTTCTTCAAGGCACTCTCCAGATGCCTAGGGTTGGCATAAATCACTGATGCATCTTGAAAAACTGTGGCCCTTCCAACAAGCAAAGCAAAGATTATCTGGGCTTCTGCTGGCTGTGTCCTGACACGCTCAGGAGAGGTGGGGCCTTTCATGCTCCCCTACATGAATCACAAAGCTACAAGTCCAAGTATAGCCAAACGCCTGAATATCAAACTGTTCATATTCAGCAGAGCTCAGTGCATATGCTTCCACCCTGCTGGCAGCAACACCTGGCTGGGTTTGCAGAAAGCACTACGGCTTTCAGCTCAGCTTATCCCCACAGCCAGACACCCTCTTCTGTGTCCTTGTATGAATATTTTTCAGAGTAGTTGAAAATAGATTCTCTGTCATTAAATGTAATATCCTCAAAGCCCTGTGAAAGTAATGCCATGTGAAGGAGCACAGCTTTAAGGCTGCTCTACGGGGGTAGACATGTTACTTATCGCCTGTTCCCCTGGAGTGAGTTGTGTACTGACTTGATAGTTTGGCATGGTCAACAGCAAAGTTCTGGCTGTAGCACTGTATCTCCAACCCTAATCTGAATGTTTAAATCTGTTTTCTTATGACTCATATCCATAGCCTGTCACAGAATAAACAACAAATACTATCTGTGGGTCAGTCTCCAAACATATGAGGCACAGCTTTAAGAGAAGCATCCTCCTTAGAGCTTAATTGTATCCATTTGTCAGGGAATACAGCTAGGGCAAGCACAGAGAATGAAAAAAAAAAAAAAAAAAAGGTAAAACTGTAGGAGTCCAGTCTTTTCTACCACAGAATTCCCGGGCCTTTCCCACAAAGATTGACTCACCAGAAGGATTTCACTTATCTTTGCGTAATTCACCAAATAGGAGGGAAAAAAAAAAGAACACAAAAGCCACTCCCAAAAGTCAGGAGAGGAAAAAAAAAAGTTTCTTAAGTTGGAAGTTCCTGTTTTTTTAATAACTGTTATTTTGAAGTGTACTTATTTGGCAGAAAATTGGATTATTGTTTTAAACCATGAAAGCTAATGAATTATTTTCTTTGATAAAAACTGACTTCAAAAACATGGAGCCTAGATGCTCTAGAGAGCAGAAGTGAAAGTAAGATTGCCGTGCCTTTTGCTGGATAAGTCATCACTCTGCCCAGACATTTTTTTCTGGGTGAAGAAGACTTTGGCTGTGCATCCAGGATTTCCAGACTGCCCATCCCTGCATTGGCAGCAGCCTTAAAGATGGAGATGTCTCCAAAGTGTGTCACACATGGTGCTGATGGGGTTGCACATGCTGGGGACAAGAGGCATGCTGCTGTATCTGGAATGTGCTGGATTTGTTGTGCCCGTGCTCAGGTGCAGCCTAGGCACCCAGAGCCACTGGCCTCCATGTGACGTCTGTGTCTTGTTAGATCCGCAGAAGCTCCACGAGGAGCAGCGTGTCACACTGCAGCCGCCTGGATCAGTTTGAGATCCGAACACTCCTAATGTGCTACCTCTACATTGTGAAGATGATTTCTGAAGGTTGGTGACTCTTGCTTACTGAGGGTGGTGTACTGGAGGGCAGCCAGAAAGACAAAGAGTCCATCACTGGATGTTTTGGTCTGCAAAGTCAGTTTTTTTATTTAAAAAAAAAAAAAAAAGGCAAAAACAAAATGTAATTTTTTTCCCTCTTTCAGATACACTTTTAGCTTACTGGAATAAATTCTCCCCCCAGGAGCTGATCAACGTCCTTGTGCTTCTCGAGTGAGTATTGTGAGGCTACAATTCAAACACTGCACCTTTGTGCTGGCAGCATTGGCAAGGAAGAAGAAATGAATGCAGCTGCCTCTCAGGGTGCACATGGTCCTATGCAGCACTAGAGGTGTCTGGCCAGGGTACAATGAGATGATCTTCCTCCCTCTGACAAACAGGTGTCTATGGAGGGAGCAGGGTGAAGTGGCAGTTCCCTATGCTCAGTGCAGGCTGTGCAGAGGGCGTCCCACCACCCACAGGGGAGCCTGGCTCACAGCGCAGCACAGCCTCCCCCTCCTTGGTGGAACAGATGGGTGCGAGACATGGGTGCACCACTGGGTTCAGAAACCAAGGGTGTGAGGTCTAGTAATGCATAAATATAGACCCCAAACCCTCATGCAACAGACATGGCTGGAGTAGATTAGATTTGAAATGTTTTGATCTTTCCTGATCTGCAGGATCTGTAACATAGTTTTTTTTTCTTTCTTTCTTTCTAGAGTGTGTTTATTTCACTTCAGATATGTGGGGAAGAGAAATATTGCCAGGTACTGTATTCTTCCATCTGGGGCCAGTGTGAGGGGGCCCTCCTCATGCTCCCTGCCACAGCAAAGGCAGGAAGGGAGCGTGCACACCCACGTCAGGCAAACCCAAGCAAGCAGGAAGCCTGCAGGGTCGGGGCTAGGACTCTGCTGAGTGTCATGCAGGGAGCAGAGCACCGTGCAGAGCACCGTGCTCCTTTTAGCACCGTGCCCCTTCCTTCCCCTCCAGCTCCTGCATGACACCCCCGGCCCTAGGCACTCCTGGATGCCTGCACAGGTTTGCAATGTCCCCCACAGTTGGCTGCAGGTGAGACACAAGTCACAGCTTCATCTCAGCTCCCTGAGCAGCAGCTCTGCTGTCTCATTCGCTCTAAGGCCATTTGTAGCAGGCGGGACCAAGGTAGCCTGGTCAGTCCTGGGGTTGGCTGGGATGAGACAATTTAGCTTGTGGGAGGGAGGCCAGGTGTCCATCCAGGTACCTCGTGTAATCCTGTAGTGGTGTGGCTTCTGCTCCTTGTCCCATCACACAGCCTTCACTTCCCCTTGCAGGGTGCACGACGCCTGGTTATCCAAGCACGTGGCAGCTGATCGGAAATCCCAGACGATGCCAGTGCTCCGCAGCAGAGCTGGTGGGATGCAGGTGCGGCTCCAGCACCTGGGCAGCTTGGACACATCCTTCACACTCAACCACAGTATGTACAGTGGAGTGAGAGGGGATCATGCAGTTTTAGCCTGTTGAAAACTTCATGCAGCCATTTGCTATTTGCTCTTGGTTGCATGGGGATACTTGAACTCTGCAGAATTGCAGTGGTCACCACTCTCTCTTGCAACGTTACTAGATTTGAAAGGGAGATATCTGAGCCACTGGGACTTAGGGCTTTTCCACTTGCCTGTCATGACTCAGCTTCTTGTCTTGGAGTGAGCACAGGTGATACCTTGGTTTGAGTAGTGAGCCTGGCAGGCAGGAGAGTTGCCCTGGTGTGCAGTTCAGCCCTACACAGAGACCTGGGCTGGGATCTGCTCTAAGCCTTTCCATGTGGGTATTTTCCATTTCCCTTCTGTGGGTGAAACTTGTACACCTCAGTCTGTGTCTGGCTTTAAAGACGGATTAAGGGGAAATACTGACATTGTTTTTTTTGGCTGGCATCAGGCTGAGGCATTCTCTAAATGGAGCCGGCAAATTTAGCATCTTGCTATGTGCACCTCATCTCACAACACCAGGGAAGTGTAAAGGGAGAACCAATCTATATCAGTATTTACATCTTGTGGGAGCTGGAGTACTGAATACTGTTTCCTCCTGATTCATTTTTTTTCTGTCCGCAGGTGCAGGCACCTCAGAAGCAGATATTGTGCACCAAGCATTACTGGAGGGCAATATAGCCACGGAAGTGTGCCTGACTGTTCTGGACACCATCTCTTTTTTCACTCAGAGTTTCAAGGTCAGCTTTGAAGTCAAAAGTATTGGAGAATAGTGTGCTGTATTTCTGTGTGCTTGTTGCTTTTGTTGACCCATTCTCTTAGAATTACGGATTGTCAAAGGATTTACAAAAGTAAATCATTTGCAGCTTGTTTATTTTCCAAAACACTAAGTGTTCACAGGCTCAACAAGCCTTATGCACTTATGCAATCTCACAATTTCTTCAAAATTGCAAGACCAGAGAAAATTACGTGGATGTTATACCATGAGTGTAGGCATTACAAAAATAGAATAAGAGGAAATGTACATCATATAGAAAGTAGGGACCAGAGGAAAGGGAAATGAACATGCTCACAATAGTCACTGTTTTCTACCATAAATTGCCTAGAAGTGAGACCCAGATTCTTTGAATTGTAGTACATGGATGTCCCAGTGGAAAAGGCTTTCCACATGTGGTTGCTGGTCCAGATAAGACCAGTGCTGCTGGCAGAAGTCTTCTCCATATAGTGATTCACACTCCTGGCAGTTCTTGCCACCCACAGGAATCAAAGTCTTTGTGACGGAGAGAACCCTAGGCTGGGAAGAAAATACTGAAAAACTGTTCCAGAAAAGCTCTTCTTGAAGTGTGGTTGGAGGAATCCTGCCAATTGCAATGTGTCTTTCATAATGTCGCAAGAACAACTCTGTATTTCAGAGTAAGCACAATGAAGACTTCATTTTTAGATGTACTGAAAAACATGAAGACAAAGCGTATCCTCTGCTTCTGTTATGGAGCAAAAAGACCATCCTGGTGCATACATTAAATTACTCCATAATAGTTTTGCAATAGCAGAAGGATTTAGATGCAAGAGTTAAACCTTGCTTGAATTTCACAGTTGCCTCTTTTTTAATATAGCTGAACCACAAAACAATGTGATTTTCAAACCACAGGATAGACTGGATTCCCTTCCGCTTTAATGGGCTTCTGCTTTGCTTTTATGGTTATACGGTGTTACCACACAGAAGTGTGCAGTAAAAGTGCTGATGCTGTTCTTATTGACAATATAAATAATTTCAGTTTAAAAGTATGGAATCTAAACTTGCTCTGCTATAAGATGTGTATAGGATGTCAAAGACAAATCCAAGCCAGACAAAAGGTCAATTGGGCTGACAATCATACAGGGGACTGTTGATCTATCGATATGGAGCATCTGCATTCCTGCTGGGTGGCCACAATGTGCCAGGCTTCCTGCACAGTGGCTGCAAGGATGGCAGAGACATAGGCAAGATAACTTTGACATGACACTATATTAATCCTCTCTAGGTAATTCTGTTTTGCCATCTGTCTACAGGGGAGGAGGGAAAAGGGAGATGGGTTCTTCAGAAGGTGCAACTAGTCAAAACTCTGCAAAAGACAAGGGAAGTGATTTACTGATTTACTACAGCAATAAAACACTTGTTGAGACTCATAAAATGAAATGGAAAAAGAGTGTAACTGTTACGGTGGTAGCAGCCTGTTTTATTTAAAATATCTCTAGACCACTGATGAACGTTGCACAGAACATTGTCCAAAACCTAAAAGTGTTAGGTTTTTGAATTAGTGATGCAATAATAATAAAATGTATTGTTTTATTCTCTGCTATTTAAATAGCATCTGACCAAACAGTGTAAGTTTGTACTGATTGTCACAGTTTCTGGTTATATTTTTACTAAAGGCTCTGCTCCTTCTCTGGCTTAAGAATTAGTGTGATTAATTATGCAAAATTATCTATTTCATTTTCAGCTTCAGGCACAACCTTGCTGCAAAGTAAATTCTCTTCTTGCTTTCCAGACCCAACTTTTAAGCAACGATGGCCATAATCCACTCATGAAGAAGGTTTTTGATATTCACCTTGCTTTTCTCAAAAATGGGCAGTCAGAAGCAGCTCTTAAGCATGTGTTTGCCTCTCTGAGAGCTTTTATTAGCAAGGTATGTAATGCTTAACTTAAAGGTGCAGGAGAATTTGCCTAGACATGACAGAATATAAAGCAATATTTAAGTTAACTTTAAAAAGTTTAACTCCTGTTAAACTGCTATTTTGTACAGTTTGAAGATAAGATTTAGAAAATAGCTTCTTAACCAGGGCATGTCTTTAAAACAATTATTACAGCCATTATTGTTTGCTGTATACCAGGAAACAAAATGAGAAATCACAAGGAATTCCTTCATGAGCCTGGGTTGCACAACTGCTATTAAGGATTAGTATCCTTTCTACCCAAAGAAGTATTAGAAGTATCTATTAGTATCAGCTTTTCTACCAAAGCTGATGCTTCTTGACTCTTTTTTCCCCAAACTGCCAATATTGCTAACAGTATTATTGCTTGAATAGTACTTGCACTGAGGACCTGCTCATCCTCTAGCCTTGGGCTGCATTTAACAGAGGCTAGCACCTGCTGAACCTCTTCCTACACTTTTCTGAGCTATGAGGCTGTTTAATCCCCTGAGCTCATGCAGTGACAAAGCCACAGCTAACCACACAAGAACTGATGCTATTGCTGACATTTCCTTTCACGTGTATCAAAATTTGCCACTTCTCATAAGTACATTTTTGATACCAGATGTACACACAAACTCCGCTGCTTCCAAGCTGCACAGTTGTAATAAATTCAAAATGAATTAAAAGCTCTCAAATCACTTGAATGCAACACTTCATTAATGAGGTAAATTCATATGGCTTCAGATTGCAGCCAGGCAGCACAGCATGTGATTGGTATGCAGAAAAGTATTGTTTCCAAAGGAGGTCTTGCATGAGTCACTGAACAAAATCTGATGAAAGAAAGAGACTGCTAAAACTGTTTTTCAAAGGTGGTAAAAATCTGTACTATGATTATTTTACTATAACTACACATAAAAGCTAAGAGCTAATATGAATATGTCTAGGGCTGATTTTTGGTTTGTTCTGACCAGACATGTGAAAAGCAGAAAATGCAGAAGTCTCACTAGCTACCTGTCTGGCTCCAGACAGCATGGTTTCCTACGTGATGTTTTCTCCATTGGGCTTCTTAAAGCCTGCCAAATTGGCAACTGTCACCAGCAGGAATCACTTAGTTTTTCTACAGGGTCTAATATATGTTTATTGTTTTACCTTTCCCAGTATCTTTCAAGTTTTCTGCTTGATTGTGATCTGCTTATCTTTGAAATACATCCTGCTGTAGAGCTACATAGACCCCACATGAACATAGTCTCTCTGCACCTCTGTCCCCCTTATTAGCTGCAAGTTTGTATAGATGAAAGTATTGTTTCTTGCCTATAGCAAAGAAGAGACCTTCCTCCTTGCCTCCTTGGCAAATTTTCTGTGTTTGTTCAAATGCAAAGCCAAAGCCGCACACCTGTTCAACTTGATCTCACCATCAGCCTTCAAAACCTGGAGCCCTTCAGGGGTTACACACTCATTGTACGAAATGCTGATTGCAGCAATGAAGGCTGCATTCCAGGCAGCTGTGAGGACAGGCATTTGGGTGGTTTTCTTGGATTTCTGCCATCCTGAATCCACACTGAATTTGGCATTATGAGTCTTCAGAGATTTGAAAAATTGCTTTCAGTTAATTTCTCACATTTCCCTTATGACAGGACACGGTGTTGCTTCTGTAAAAGCAAGATATGAGCCCAGCAGATGGTATCTATAAGGAAGTGATTTCTTTGCCAACTCCTTAACCACATGGGTCCCAAACTTCCTTTTAAGTCCTCTGAAAGGCTTTTCTAAGATCCGAAGCAACAATAAAATAGATGGGGCATCACTGCGTTTCACAACAAGTGCAAGGATGGCATGTTTTTCTGCAAGTTTGTTTTGAAATATGAAAGTTGAGCTGTTTTGTTTTGAGTTGCATATCATTGCTAGCTATAAAAGTGTTAATTTCAAGAAAACCAAAAGTGAATTATACCTCTGACGCAGCTAGAAGAGACCATTTGTCAGTTTTATGGCCTTCTGCAGCTAATAATTAAAATGAAAAGGCCCCCCCTTTTATCTAGTGTCACAGCAAATAGTTGTTGGAGGGAAAACCTCTTGAGAGTTATTTCACTTCCCAAAATCTGCCTTAAAACACCCTTATTTCTTCATTTAACCTGGTTATTTCATAGGCAAGAGATTCAGAATAGAAATGTCGCAAGAAAGCAAGGAACAAAGGAGGTTTATAATTGTTTGCATATTTGGTTTTGGTTTTGAAAATGAATGCTGCTTGCATACATGTGTGCCAGGAATTTGGAAAGGGAGATTTGTCTGCTTTACTGGCTGGGAAGAAGCAATAATAGCTAGAATATTCCTGTTTAATATCCCAGGTTTTCTTAAAATCTAAACCTCTTTTCAGAGCATCAGATAGATGAATACGTATGTATATGCTTGGGAATGGTCTTTAAATTGTTATGAAGGAAAAGATGCACAGAGTAGAAGGCTGAGATAATTTGCCTGCGTTAAAGAGACAAGTGGATGTGAGAGTGAATGAAACCCCATGTAGCTGCCAGCTCCATGCCTCTCTGTCCCTTGGTGCATTCATACTATCAGGGCCTGTTAGAGGCATCGCCAGTTCCAGGCCCTGGAGTATGAAGGTAGCAGAGCTTTGCTCCTTTCCTGCAACTGCTGATTACATCTGACCATGTTAAGTCTTGCTTTCCTTCCCCATTAGTGTAATTTCAGGCTGTGATTTGTCCAAACTGATGCCCACAACTTTGAAAGGAAGGAGCATAAAGCTTTCTGCCCTACTTTACTGTGCCAAGGCTGGTCTGGAGCCTCTCACTGTGCTGACTCCGGCTCCAGCCCTTCGTATTAGGACTGGACCAGAAACATACTGCTCCGGAGCACACGGGGTCATGGCCACATACAATGTTTCTCAGCACTTCTCAGCTTGTGTTCTCCTGCCAGCTGGAGAGCCTCAGTCAGCACCTGGTCCAAGCTGCAGCAGGCATGAACCCTTGGGTCTGCAGCCCTGGCACCACATGTGATTGCATCTGCTTGGGATCGTTCTCCAGGAGGGAGGTGCTCAGGGACGCGGACTGGCTATGAGCAGGCCACAGCTTTTCCTCCTGGAGCTGGTGCACAGTGGAGAGGAGCACACAGGGAGAGATTTGGAGCTTGTTGTCCAGATTTTCAGGCAAAGTTTTCTCCCTAGCACTGAGTTGGAAATATTCGCTAAATCTCTGCAGGCAAGCAGTGATGCATGCCAAGAGCCAGTGCCAGACACAATTTCTTGGTTGCCCATGCATGCCCAATCTGACATCACTGTGGCCATTTCTGTGCTAATCCCAATTTCTAGTGTGATCCTATCTCACTATGGGAGGATTGCATTACAACAGGCAGCAGTTACTTAATAGCTCCTTTCCCAAGTGTACACGTGACCCTCTTGGCCCTGTTTTACTATGATACTTATTTGCTTCTTTTCTCCCTTTTTTTTTTTCTGAAAATACCGCAAGAGGCAGAGAACATCAAATAGTTGGGCAGTAAGCATGCTGCCTTGTAACCTATGTGGCTCAGTGTAATCCCAATGCTGTAGTCTTCCTAGATGCAGCTCCTAGATTCCTGTTTTAAAGCTTGCCCACCAGCATGCTGTGGTGGTTGCCACAGCAGTACCTACACTCTTTTCTGAGTCATATATATTTGATGCAAGGAATAGAGGGCCAAGGTAACATCGCCAACCTCTGACTTGGAGGATGTGAGGGAATACTCTGACAGCGTTTACTGTCATTTCCCTTGGGGATATGGTAGGACAGAGAGAGGTGACTCACAGACCATGCCCCCTCAGTACCACTGTGTCTTGAATGAACTGAGCAAATCCTCTCCCTCAAATAGACAGAAAACACAGTTACCTCTTTGTGCCAGGAATTTCCGTAGGGCTTGGTCCCTGGCAGAGGGAGCAAAATGCTGCTGCATGATGCCTGAACAGCCTCCGCTCACACCAGGACGCACCCCTCTCCAGCCAAGTCCCTGCGGTGGCTGTGGAGGCGGCTGCGTGCCAGCACAAAACCTTGCCTTGTTCTGCTTCTCTGCACCCAGCCCATTGTGGCAGGGGTGGAAGGAAGCAGTGTGCAGTCCCACCTCACAGCCAGCCACCACTCTGACCAAGGACGGATGGATGCCTGCTGGCATCCCTGCTCCAGCAAGCCCTGCATGGAGGCTGCTGCCAATCGGGGCAATGCACTGCTGCAGCTGTCTGCTTTTCAGGCATGGCTGAGCTCGCCCCCGCAGACATGCGCTGAAATAGGTGTTTGCTAATATGACAGACGTGCTGTGGCAGTGCAGGCTGCTGCTCTTCCCTTTCTGCTTTTCTTCACCCGGCTGCAAATCCCCAAGCCCTGTTTCTAACCAAAGTAGCTCACGCTGTGGTTTGGCTTTGTCCTGCTGCTTCCTGGGGCTGGCTCAGTTTGTGGGGTCACTGCATATTTTAGGTACTCTGGGACAAGTGTGTCCCTTATTTGCTTTCCTGAATTCCTGAGGGCAGTTGTAACTTTAGGCATTTTTTCTGGGACTTGTAGAAGTAGCTGTGCAAGCATCACAGGTCATGTTTCCCAGCAGGGTTGGACTTGTGGGCAAGATACAGCAGGTTTTCTGATACCTCACACAGCAGCCTTTGGCGGGAATGTCTGTGGGACCTCTTTCTGCCCTGCTGCCAGTGTTTATGGCTTTTGCAAAAGCATGAGACAGGATTCTCTCTGTCCAATACGATGAGAATTTGCACTGACCAAAAATTGTTGGGAGTAGGGATAGATGGACATACACAAGCACATCCCCAAAAAGTGTGACAGCTAAGGTCACGTTGCTTTAGGAAATGTGGTTAAAAATAGATCCTGATTTCATTCCCACAAATACTTTTGAGCATGAAACTTTAGCAGAATTTTTATTTAGGCTGTCCAGGCTGGAGTCCACTATGTTGCCCCATGCCCCTGCCCATCTGAGCTCTGTAGGTATTATTTTGTGGAGTATGTTCTAATATTTGCATATCTTTTGTGAAGTTTCCCTCAGCGTTTTTCAAGGGAAGGGTGAACATGTGCGCTGCCCTCTGCTATGAGATCCTGAAGTGTTGCACTTCAAAGGTGGCCTCCACAAGGAATGAAGCCTCCGCTCTTCTGTATCTGCTGATGAGAAATAACTTTGAGTTCACCAAAAGAAGAACATTCCTGAGAACACATCTTCAGGTCAGTTACTGGGGAAAAGGGAGAGATCGGGACGCCTCAGATTTAATGAACAGATATGTTGATATAGCTGTGTTACCACATGTCTGCAGAGGAATTGTTGTGTATTTCAAAAAAAAGAGCAAATCTTGCCAATCTTTTATATGGACAAAATGCCTCTTGATTTCCAGCCTTTAACTAATCCCTGTTTTCAGAGATTGGCCTAGGGCCCATTGGGTGAAATACACTGCCATCAAGCACTCCAAATTGTTGATTTTTTGGAACTGAAACTACAATACACATCTCTGCCTCGGGTGCTGATTGGCATGGGGTGTGAGGTATGGCAAGAAGAGCCACCTTTGGGGCAGGAGGGATTTTTCTGGAGCTGCTTTTGAAGCATTTCTTTTTTAAAGCAAATTTAAATACCTAGAGGGGCAGGTGAACACCCACTGGGTTGTAATAAGTCAGGTAAGAAGGTAACCAATGTACTAATTTCTGCATCAGGATTTGTGTTATGATTGTTATCTTGTTAATTCTGTGAATTTGCCGTTCAGCAAAGCAGCTTGGTCCTCTGGGGACTGTTTGTCCATGGGAGATCAGACAGTAAAGCCACAACAAATGTTGCTTACACTGTGGGAAAGATATGTTTTTTTATAAGCTTTTTATGTAACTGTGACAATAAATCTTTTCTATTAGGGCTCGTTTAAATAAAGCCCCTATGCTGTCTCAACAGATAATAATTGCAGTGAGCCAGTTAATAGCAGATGTGGCACTCAGCGGTGGGACGAGGTTTCAGGACTCCTTGCTCATCATTAACAACTTTGCAAACAGTGACAGGCCTATGAAGGTAGGTTGGAGAAGATAAATCACATGTGCTATCAGCCATTAATGCAAGATGGGGTATGTATGCACTAAAGGAAAGTGTATGCTCATGTTTAAGGGTAAGCCTAATTATTCTAACTGTATGATTTATAAGCACACGCTGGCCTGGTTGCTCAGTAAACAAGATTTATAGCAACAGCAGTAGGGCCAGCTGTACCATGCGTCACGTTTCACTGTGATGCCTAACGGCAAGAATAGAGAGCACAGTAATTCAGGTTACACTTCACATAGGGTGCTCCTTTCAAGGGCTTCCAAAGAGCTTTCTAAGAACATCCAGCTTTGAGAGGAAAGAAAAGGGAGGCCTGTTGCCTAAAGGAAATAATTAGAAGGAATTAAAATTAATTAACTGATTGTCAGTAATATTATGAAAGTCCTCTTTTGTAAAGATTAATGGTTTTATTTCTTTGGAAAATAACAGTCTCTTTGCATTAGAATGAACAGCTTCTACCTAACCCATTGAGCAATATATCATCACTACAACTTGCTTCATTGCGCATGGTGTAGCTGCCAGTGTAGGACTGAGAAAAATGAAAAAGAAGACTTTTACAATTCTATGGCCATCCTATGACCTAAAGGCAGAATGAGAACCTCAGTTGCGTGTTGAATTGTGATATAGCAAAGTTATAGTTAGGATGTACCTGACAAAAACTTCAGCTCTCTTCTGCACACATACATGTATGTTTACAAGCTTTTCACTGATCCAAATTTTGCTGATCTTATTTTATATCATGAGACCATCATTATATCTAGTTTACGTACATAAATAAGTAAAAGACAGATCTCCCAGTACAAGAGAGATTCTATTATGGTGGAGAGAATGCCGTGCACAGGTCCAGACATAGCACAAGGAGAGAGAAAATAACCAGGTTCAATACAGAAAAGAGAAAGATGAGGAAGCTTCTAACTGCTACTTTTTACTACCAAAAAGGGAGGTTATAGAGATGAGGAAGTCAGGCTCTTCTCAAAGGGGCAGGATGGGAGGCAATGAACACAAGTTGCTACAAGGGAAATTCCAACTTTACATAAAGAAAAATTTGTTTTCCAAGATAGTGGGGCAGGGTCCAGAAAAGAGGTCAGATTTCTGTCCTTGGGGATTATCAAAACTTGGCTGGACAAGTCTTGCTCTAACTCAGTGCTGATCCTCCTCAGAGTAGACGATCAGACTTAAGCATGTGTTTTTTTCTCTAATACATTCCAGTGGTGGGAAGCTCTACAAATGCCTTTGGTGTTTTAGGAATTATAGAGTGAGCACATCAGATACTAACAAGCCAGATGTTGATTGAAGAGAAAAATGCTTCAGGAGTGGTTTACGGTTCCATTCTGTGGCATTCATATGCAAGGAGCACCTCTGTCTCACCCTCACACCTGCTCCTCAGGATGCAGAAGTACCTGCTGCACTTCAGCACAGGAATAGCTAGCCTGACATCCTGTGCACAACCAGGAAAGATTGGCCCTGTGCATGCTCAGATTGAAATATCTTTAATTGAGTATGAAATATTGTTTACTGTATAAACTGTGAGTTCAGTAGGTAAAAGCTACAGTCAGGGCTATCCCTTATACTTTGTTTTTTTCAGACTGACAGCAAGTGGATTTGGGGCTTAAAGGGTACCAATGGTCTTTGACAAAGCCTAGAACACCTTTTGTTTCTGTGTTTGCTTCTAATTAAATTTGTTTTGTACCAGGCAACTGCTTTTCCTTCTGAAGTCAAAGATCTGACGAAGAGAATCCGTACAGTGCTTATGGCTACTGCCCAAATGAAAGAACATGAAAAAGATCCAGAAATGTTGATAGATCTACAGTACAGTTTAGCTAAATCTTATGCAAGCACTCCAGAGCTCCGGAAAACATGGCTGGACAGTATGGCAAAGATACATGTGAAAAATGGAGACTTTTCAGAGGTAATTTACATAATTAAAAACAATGAGCCTAACAAGACAGATGTTCAGATGACATTTTAATTTTCCCTTTATACTTTGCAGGCAGCCATGTGTTATGTTCATGTAGCAGCCCTTGTTGCAGAGTTTCTGCACAGAAAAAGTAAGTGTTTACTGTTTAAGAGGCATAAGACAATGCAGTGGTGAATGATGATTTGGTAAATTATTATTTATTGATCTATTCTGAACATGCTAAAAAGGAAAAAAAATGCAGTGTGACATGATGAAGGTAGAAGACGGTGAGTATTTTTGAAGAAAGTAATCTAAGTGTTCAAACACAGGCATCTACTAGGCTGTCCAGGTCTTCTTAGACAGTCATGTTGGCACCTTGCTGAGAAAAATAAGAACTGACACATTATGTCTCTGTTTAAATGTTCAGATGTGTTTCACATTAGGAAATGTGCTCACAGGGGAAGCCCATTTTACAAACGGGCTGTATGTATGTTCATCAGAAGTATCACTATAGGCAACTGGAGAAAACTAGTGAAAACTATATAGAAGCAGTCAAAATTCAGTCAAAAAATGAAGCTATAGCCTAACTATACAAATATATAAAAGCAACTGGAAAAAAAGAGAGTGGTGTGGTTTAATGCAAAACAGGAAGCAAGGACAAACTTGTGTATTCTCAAGTAAGAGCATAACATTTTGCAGGTTTTCTTATAAAAATCTATTCCACAGTAGATATATTGACCCCATTTCTTGTTTCCACATAAGGGAGTATTGTTGAAAGAGACTTAACTTTCTACTACTTTTAAAAGTTAAAGCCACACAGAAGTTGACTATGTGCACTGCCTTGGCTGGAAAGGTCTCTGAGTCCTTTGCTCAGGGGGCTTGAAGTTCCTTCAAATTCTGTGTGTTGGCTAAATGGAAAAAATCGGCACATATTTTTTTTGATATGTATGTAAACTTCATATGGTTGCAGAGGGGAGAGCATTGAAAGTTGAACCATCTGTATTTGTACCCTGGAAGCTGCTGTCCACAACCAGCGGTAAAAAAGAAGAGGAACAAGTCTGAAGGAATATTAAATGATATACCTTGTGTTATCTCTGTCACAGACACTGTTTACATATATGTAGGCTGCAAACAGTTCAATACAGGCTGAACTACTCAAAGCTTCAGGGTGCATAACTATGGTTTCTGCTAGGAGTATACTGCCCTGTTCACTTCCTATCCTGCTCTTCAGCATCCAGTGGTAGCTTTCTCCTTGCAACTTCTTTGCAAAAATATATGCTGGTCTGTCCTAATGGGTTGGTCAAAGGTGACTTCCAGATACTACACTGGAAGATCTGTTGTTGGTGTTAGTCACATACTAGGAATGACTCCTTTGACAAATGGCTGGAGAGATTCTTATGTGTTCAATCCCATGATAGCAAATCAGTAGCAAAAATGGGAGTTGGGTCCCCGCCTTTAGGACTTTGGTATCAAATGGACTTCTTTGGCCACTGAAGCACGATGCATTTGAGAAAAGTTATTCTATGAATACATTTTATTTTGTCTGCTACAGAACTCTTCCCCAGTGGATGCACTGCCTTCAGGAAAATCACTCCCAACATTGATGAAGAAGGTGCAATGAAAGAAGATGGTGGGATGATGGATGTACATTACAGTGAGGTGAGGTCCTGTAGCATAGACTACGGAAAATTTGATAACCTAATAGGATTTAGTGTTAAACCATGCTCATGTGAGCTTTAGCAAATTGTAGTTGTGCACTGTCATCTATAAGGAAGGCTGTTCCATGGCAATTTCCCAAGAGAACTCTTCGTTGACAGATGTTATGGGTACAATTCAGATAGGTAAATCTGGTGCAAGTTCTTGGTTCCTTTGAAAGGCTTTTCTAGTTCTGAGAGTGAAAAAGCTACACCGCAAACTTTGTCTGCCACATTATGCAAATTCTAGCCCTTGCCAGCATAGGACAGCACAGCTTAGTATTTTTGAAACACAGAGTGTAAGTCAAGCTCCGCTAAGCAAGAGGTCCATTTAGATTCCCCTTGAGTTTGGGTTGTGCTGCAGGACACCATGGTAACAGAACAATCTAGAGATCATAGCAGGGCACTGGGGAAACAGAAAGATCCTCCCGTAAGTTCCAGAGAGTCACAATTACTTCTGCTCCATCCATGTGCAACTGGGTGGGCCACATGGGTGACTGAGGTAGCCCTGCAGCCTAGCTGCTTGACTGTCCATTCATTAAGACTAGGCTTGGGGATCTTCAGCAGCACATCCCATTGCTATTACATGCATGTTCCTTGAACATACCTCTTTGTTATGTACCTCTTTCTTCCAGAACTGTCATCTCCGTATCCTCCCAAACTTTTGGCATTCTCCTAGGGAGATAGCTAAATAACCAAGGTATACTTGCTGGCTACTGTGCTCATTGATGAGTTACTAAGAATTAAACTTTTAAAAACTAACTTTTTTTTCCCCTTCACAGTTTAGCATACATTTGGAAAGGCCAGGAACACAAAGTGTTTGAACTTATGTAACTGTGGCCACTTATACTGGGACCTATTGAAGTATTTGAAGCTCAAATGGTTTACCTTCTCTTTGACTTAACAACAACCATTTGGTTGCTCTTGTAGGAGGTCCTAGTGGAGCTGCTGGAGCAATGTATAGATGGTCTGTGGAAAGCAGAACGTTACGAAACAATTTCTGAAGTTTCCAAACTGATCATTCCTATTTATGAAAAACGGCGTGAATTTGAGGTACTCATTTTGAAGTAGTTTGTATGTATCAGGTAATTTCATAGGTTGCTAGGTTAAAAACAAGACACTTCTGTTTCTCACATTCTGAGTTAATGGATTGTAGTCTGTAAAGCACACATTGTGCTTCATTGCTGGTCATTAAACAAATGAATGAAAGCAGTGGTCTGGAGGGTAATAAAGTTAAAGCATTCCTAGACGTGGAAGATCATAGTTAGACATAGCTAGTGAATAACGCCCATCTTCCTTTCCCTAAAATAAAGCTGTCATTCCCATATGCTCATCAAAGCCATAGATTCTTTTTGTCCTTTAATACATAGACACTTGAGTGTTTTAAGGGTTAAGAAAGGTGTGAACTGTTCAAAGAGAGGACTAGATCCTCAAGTAACTCAGTGGCTAGCAGAGAGGAAGGAAGGAAACTGTTACTGTCTTGCTACTCCCTAACACCTGCATTGATCTGTGCCCCAGCGAGGCTCAAATGCTGATCAGTGCTCCCCTTTCCCTTCTTCTCCCGTGATCCCCTCCATTTCAGGAAAGCATCCAGCTACATTAATAAAGCTATGAGAAGTCTTGATCTATTGTTTTCAACATAAAGTTGTTTTTAATCAGAAAATAATTTCAGAGTAAAATACTGCAAGCTGGTCTACCCTTACAGGCTTAGTCAGAGAACATGCTGAGACGGCAGGCTGTGTTCTGTTGAAAGACAGTGGTTTTATTGCAGTCCACTGTACCTTTCAGACCTGAAGCCAAAATTTGCTTGAGACTGAGTTTTTTTGAAAGAAACTACATGAACTCAACCTCTTTAGAAATTCTGATTTGCATTCTCCAATGGATTGTGATCAAATACTCAGTAGCTTCCAGTGTTAGCTAGAATTTCCTGCTTGTGTAATTCTGCTCTAATGATGTCAAGATTTGTTTTTCAGAAACTTACTCAACTATACAGAACGCTTCATGGAGCATATGCTAAGATATTGGAAGTGATGCACACAAGGAAGAGGCTTCTTGGAACTTTTTTCAGAGTGGCCTTTTATGGACAAGTAAGTATATACACAGGCTTGCCAGCTACCGCTCACCTGGCATCCAGACCCATAAAGCTGCTGCTTGGTCAGGTCTTAAGCTGAAAAACCTACAAGCTCCTCTGGTGCTCCACCAGTGTGTTGTGTCTTTGTGTTTTGGTATTGCACCCTTGAGGTGAGTGCTTGTATCTCTCTCTAGGAGCACTTGATTTATTATAAATTTTATGTTTAAGCTGATGGGATTTTCATAAAGCAACTCAGCAGTAAGAAAATGGCTTAGTGGGTTCAGAAATTTTCCTTTTTTAAAAAAATTATAGTAGTTACAAGTTACACAAATGCAATTTAGCGTGTATAGTATATAACCAGTAATAGTATTCAACCATAGATTATAAACAGTAATAGTAACAGATATTTTCTTTTGCGGACAAATGCTGCTCCCATCTAAATATTAGTAAAGTAAAAGTTTACCATAGAAGCTGGAGGCAAAATATGTATCAGAGTTGGTTTCATACTTTTAGGGATAGATAGTATTTTTCATTAGCTGGGGTAGTTGGAAAAATGGAGATCTGGGGCTCAGTCTGGAAGAGTGTGATCTTACTGTATCTGATGCAGTCTTCTGAACCCGAAAGTAGTTGCATGGGTTTTTCTTCCACCTATAGCAGTTAATCTAATAAAGTGTGTTACTTCTCATCTCCCTTGCAACTCTGGACTATCTTCTTCTGCTTATGGACCCATAACCCCAAGGGAAATGCAGATTCCCTCTTTAGAAAATACTATGTAAATGATATTAGCCCTTCCTTTCCTGGTTCCTTCTTTTAGAAGATGTGATGAATACCCCTGAAACCATCATGGGTTTGTAACTTTGAACACCACTGTCATTTCACGAACAACATATCTTTATTGAGAGCAGCTCAGAGGAGAAGGACCTGGGAGTGTTGGTTGATGAGAAGCTCAACATGAGCCAGCAATGTGCACTTGTAGCCCAGAAAGACAACCATATCCTGGGCTGTATCAAAAGGAGAGTGGCCAGCAGGCTGAGGAAGGTGATTCTCCCTCTCTGCACTGCTCTCCTGGGACCCCACATGGAGTACTGCATTCAGGTCTGGGGCCCCTGGCACAGGGAGGGCATGGACATATTAGAATGAGCCTAGAAAAGGGCCACAAAGATTATCAAAGGGCTGGAGCCCCTCTCCTATGGAGACAGACTGAGGGAGCTGGGGATGTTCAGCCTGGAGAAGGGAAGGCTCCAGGAAGACCTTATAGCAGCCCTCCAGTACCTAAAGGGGAGCTACAGAAAATCTGGGAAGGGACTCTCTGTCATGGCATTTTAATTCCATAGGTTGGAATAAGATGATCCCTAAGGTCTATTCCAACCCAAGCCATTCTATGATTCTATGATCAGTGACTTTTGCTGCAGCATTTTGTCTTCATACTTCATACTTTGGGTATGTAAAAAGTTAATATGGTTAGCAACAGATAAAAGGAAACAACTGCTAGTTTGGTTTTCTAGAATCTAGAAATAACTGGATCAATCCCTAAAACTAAGCAATGTAACATACCATCCTGACAAACAATACTTGATCCAGTTTTCCATTTTCAAGCTTTGTCAGCTTTATAGGTCAGCTACATACAGATAGTTTTAATAATGTCACAATTTCTGATTGGAGCAACTTGCCAAAGCATGAAGCTTTCAGGCTGTTTCCATTACAGGAAGAACTGGCAATGCAGGCACAACCTTTGGTGCAATTTTGTTTCTGTTTACAACAAATACACTGAGTTCCACTTCCCTGAATACAAGAAGAATCAAAACAGTGGAAGCAGGTTTCTTTATTTATTGCTTGAAGTCCCCGTTGGCTTACACAAAATCCTTTCCTTTAGATTTTTCACATGGCTCTGCTTTCAGGACTTGGCAAATTTATGTTTTTCTACTCCTTCTTTATCCCTGGTTTTGGTGCTTTTTTGTTGTTGTTGTTGTTGTTTTTGTTTGTTTTGTTTTGTTTTGTTTTGTTTTTTCTCCTAGTTGCCTCTTTCCAACCTTCCTAAAAGTCAACCTCTGACCAAACCCCTCTTCCACATTGTTTAGATTTCTCATTAGTCATACTAACGCCTTTGTGTTTAGCAATGACATGCTTATATTTGTTGAGGAATTTAAAAATTTATTTGCGCAATTTTTGAAGGAGTCTATTAAACAGACCACATTGTGAGATTTAGTGCAAGTCATAGTCTTCTAAACCTTCTTCACTTTCTGAAATGTTAGTAGAAAGTTGCTTTCAAAGTAGCAAATCTGAAATAATGTTTTCCAAGAGAAGAAACTCATCTATTCCTCATGCCTTGTTTATGATTACTACTAGGCATTCTTTGAAGAAGAAGATGGAAAGGAATATATCTATAAAGAGCCCAAGCTGACAGGCCTATCAGAGATCTCTCTCAGACTTCTTAAACTTTATGGAGAAAAGTTTGGGTCGGAAACTGTAAAAATTATCCAGGATTCCAACAAGGTAAAGTTAAAATGCATGAACAAGCTAACAAAATGCAGTGAATGTCAGGGCCACATACTAGAGAGTGCACTGATGAGTGCACTGACAGAAATATCAGTCGTACTCTACTAATACTGGTCAGGCCTGGGACTACACTGCTCTAAGCACTGTGCAAATGCAGCACAGAAGGATGAGCTTTGCTCTGTGGACCTGACAGATGGGAGATGACGCAGCATCCCTTCCTTCTGCCAGTAGAGAGGGAGGAGTGAGCCTGGTCTTCTGCCCTTTTACAGGCACCTTGCTTCCAATTGCCCCTCCCATCCCTGTGCTCCCACATGGGCAAGGTGCATAGCTTGGCAGTGTGGTGCTGATCTGTCTTCCAGGTAGAAATAAATGCATTGGGAATTATGAATGGGAAGTGGCAATTCACGTCTCTCTGAGCCCTGTTGCTGAAAGGTGTTGGGAACCAGCACAGAGAAGCAGATGATTGGAAGGAGAATTACTTGTCATTGTCATTACTTGACGCTCCAAATCTAAGAGAAAATCTTTCCTGGCCTCATAGTCATAGCTTCCTTTCCCTATAGAATATCCATTTATGCTCACTACAAGGACTGTGCACGCTCTTGGGTTGCAACTGTGGATATGTCTTAGTTACTAAAGACAGTGCTAGAAACCTCAAATGTTGTTTTGTGCAAACCTGCAGATTTGCATGGTACAGCACAGTGCTGCATGAATGCTAGCTCATGGCTGGGAAGCAATATGGTCATATTGGAAGTTCAGGAGTGTGCTGCACTGATTGATAGCACAATATGACTATCCCTTCGAGGTGTACCTTGTTTGGCACCAAATGTGGTATTTCTTGTGCCACAGCCTCATTGTCTTGTATGTCTGCTAGCTGATGGTCTAACCAACACAGCTGAGGTTAAAAGGAGTGTTTGATGTGTCATTCACATGTGTGCAATGGGGCCAGGACAGCAGAGAATCAGAGTGTACATCTGATCCCTATAGATAACTTAAATGATTGTGAGTTAAATTGCTAACCTTTGTTCTTTTAGTGAGAAACTCTCTTATTTCACAGGTCAATGTTAAAGACCTTGACCCTAAGTATGCTCATATTCAAGTGACTTATGTGAAGCCCTATTTTGAAGACAAAGAAATCTCTGAAAGAAAGACTGAATTTGAAAGAAATCATAACATCAATAGATTTGTATTTGAGACTCCTTACACTTTATCTGGAAAAAAACATGGCAGTGTGGAAGAACAGTGTAAAAAAAGAACCATTCTAACTAGTAAGTACAAGCATCTGAACTTGAGACAGTGGGTATCAGCAACTGGTTTTAGACCTTTTTATCTTGTAAAAACTTCTTAATCAAAATTGTGATATGATATTCTGGTTGGGAGGGGGGATTTACCTTGCATTTCTATGTGCAAATTTTTACAAGTGAATAAATTGTGATATTAAATTATAGCCTTATTCAGGATTTCACACACACCAAGTAAAACTCTGAGCATAAGGATGTATCTGTATGTACTCCTGTTTGCTAAAAGACTTTTCAATCTATAAATCTCATTTGCTGTTTCTGCTAGCTTCGAATTCCTTTCCATACGTAAAGAAGAGAATTCCAGTCAATTATGAACACCAGGTTAATTTAAAACCAATTGATGTTGCAACTGATGAAATAAAAGACAAGACAGCAGAGCTGCAAAAACTCTGCTCTGCTGGTGATGTTGACATGATCCAGCTGCAGCTCAAACTGCAAGGCTGTGTTTCTGTGCAGGTAAGGCTTGACACCTATTCAAAATTACATTTATATACACATCTCTGAGTGAGTCATCTTTTCACAACGCAGCACATTTACTTTCCAGAAATCATTAACTACCTGGTTTGCAGCACTGCAGCCATCATCCTGCCAGCACAGCTTGCCTTGCCACACATATTTGTGGGTGGTTCGTGGCAATAAGGGTTTTGTCCAGGGGTGTTTGCAGTGCCAAGTCCAAGTGCAGCTGCACATTAGTTGTCCATGGGTGGATGCTAAATTATACTTAGTTCTTGAAGACTGTACTGTAAATATCAGGCTGAAATAACCTTTTTGTGAACCTGACTTTTCTCCAGCCGGATATATGACCTTAAGACTCAGACCATACAGCTTGCCAAACGGAAATAAGAGGAAAGTATGAGGAAACAGATTGCCTCTCTGTTTTTTTATCTCCCTTTATCTTTTGGTCTTAAAAAGCCTAGATGGAAAACAATCCTCAAGTGTTAAGACTTCAGGTGCCTCTGGTGATACTAGTAATGTAGAGCTGGTGGCATTCAAATAATAAGCTAATTATTTTCAAGGAAAAAAAAAAGATAAACACTTCTTAACTACCTTTAGCAACTCAATTGAAGTTCTATCATAAATGATTCCTTACTTCTTTGGTTCCAGGTTAATGCTGGTCCCTTAGCCTATGCCAGGGCTTTCCTAAGTGACAGCCAGTCCAGCAAATATCCCGCTAAGAAGGTGAATGAGTTGAAAGAAATGTTCAGGTAGGACTTCTAATGTAATAAAAACTTGTCAACTGGCTGAAATATGGTAGTTGCTTTTCTTGTGTTTTGGTGTGTTTCCAAAATCAGTAAATGCTGAATGCTCACGTCTTATAAAGGTCCAGGTCTGATGGTGCCATGGTTGCTCAGACATATGGAAAAAAGCCACTGTAACTATATATGTCAAGTGTTCCCAGTCTTCGGGTTGTGATTTCCATGACTGAATGCCTGCTTCAGTTTTTTGTGTGCATATTTGAGTTTATAGAAAGTACATTTGAAAATTAGAGGTCTAATAGTCTTGTGTTCAGGACTCTTTCATTTTGTGCATTTTTTCCCCATCTTTCCAAAGAGATTTTTGACTAGATAATGATGAACTTCAAATATTTTAAAGCAAATCCCTTTTTCATGGGAGACCATCATTCTTGATTGTTGCTATATTTGGACACTATGTGACTTGCACAGGCATTTTTCTAACTCTCTCCAGTCCCCCAGAATAGGTGCATAGACCATGGCCTTTTACTTCCCACTTGAAAGTGTCCCCCTTATAATCCAGCAGCTCCTGTTTCACCTCAGGATGACGTGTGTTCCCACACTTCACCACACTACTTTCTGGACCTCTTGAGAGCAACCAGTTGCCCACTAGCTCCTGCATTCATGGCTTGGTGCTGGTGACACCCATTTCATCTGCTGGTGACAAAGCAGCATTAGGGCCAATTCTAGGTATCTTCAGTGTATTGAGTAATCTAGCAAACCATTGAAAGAATAAGGGAATAATCCCTGCAAACCTGCCATGCATGGCTGCAGAACAGAGGAGAAGGTCAAACATAATCTGTTTCATGCAAAAAATAAAATAAATAAATAAATACATTTATCAAAAATCCCAGACGTGATTGTAGTATTTTCACTATAGTCTCATTAGAGAGAGAGAGAAATAATGCCTGTGAAATAAGAGAAGAAAATGAGCAACACTAACCAAGAAAACAGTGTTACAGCTCCCCATGATCTATATTTCTTGTCTGGTGTTAGCAACTTGACCTTGTGTGGTGCACGTGCTGCATCACATACAACCAGATTTGTCAAGCCCTGTACAATTGATTTCCCTCCTGTGCCTGAGCATGGTTTGCCTCTGTTTTTTGACCCCACCTGCTGCTGGTTGGGCTCATCTGAGATCTACAAGCTGTGTGTGGTGCCACGGGCTCTGGAGAAGGTCAGAGATCATTGTGCAGTGCAGGTGTGTGCCCCCTTTATTGAGCACTCAGGCTCAAAGGAACCCAGCAGAACACGATCCTGTGCTGAAGTCCCTCCCCATTCACTGACCCACTGTGCCAGGGATGCCTCTAGAATGTGACTTGTCCCAGACACTGGGGAACAGGGAAAAACTGTTTTATTTCAGTAAAAAAAAAAAAAGACTGGGAAATTGTAATACACAAAGTTCATTCCTTTCCTCCCCAGGAAGTTTATACAAGCCTGTGGAATTGCTCTGGAGCTCAACGAGCGACTCATTAAGGAGGATCAAGTGGAGTACCATGAGGGACTAAAATCAAACTTCCGGGATATGGTGAAAGAGCTTTCAGATATCATCCATGAACAGGCATGTACTGCATGTCAAGAGCCCACAAAAGTCGTTCTCTGTGCTTGTAAATTAGCTAATGTTGAAAACTTACTGAAAACTAAATGGAAACACCTCATGTAATTTAACTAAATTCAAAAAAGGCAAATAACTAAATGTGAAAAGTAAATGATACACTCAGTAGGTTCCTAACAACCAGTTTCTGTTGCTTGCAAACCTCATCCTGGCATTGGTATACAGGGTGGAGTCTTCAGTAACACACATCATTAGTTTCCTGGCTATTGTGGTCATCAGAAATCTTGTGCCGTGTTTTGCTTCATGCTTTCTGCATTGGAAAAGTCCTGTGATAAGTCACAGGTTGAAATTGTCTGGCAAAATTTCCGTTTCCTGTTATATCCCACTTATGTTCCTTTTTTTTTTTTTTAAAGGATATTTTCTTTGAATTTTGACTTAATGCTAACTATTCATATGCACTGATAAGGTATTTGTGCTAAATTATGTGACCCATGTTTTAACATTTGATTGGATCTTTCTAGGAAAACACACTTGAATAGTGACATCAGAGAGGTGAGAGGTTCAGGAAACAATTCCGCATCTATCTAATATCATGCTATGAGATCAGATGAAAAATGTTTTTCTGAAGTAACCTCTTTATCTCTGTACTCTAATTGTGCCTTCATTATGACGAAAGAAAAATAAATGTAGATTTATAGTATCAAGCATATAAGATGAATGGTTCTGACTGTGTTGTGATTCATAGGTCTTGAAAGTTAGAAGAATGTTTTCAAAATCTCCCAGTTCCTCTACAAACAGTCATTTAGCTTCTCACGCCATAGGTAGATAAACTGCTTAAATATAGTTTATTTACCTTCTATACAACAGTTCCACGTGTGGCAATTAAAAATGTAGCATGTTAAATTCCTAAAAATAGAGAGACAAATTCCACAACAAATTGAGAAGTAGATAGGAAAAATGAGCAAGTAGCAAAATAATATAACTGCACCAGGCTGCTATTTCTAAGTCACGTTTATTTACAGTAAAATAATGCTTATGAAAATCAAACAAAGGTTTTTTTTATGGAAAAGTACCATATCATTTCAGGGAAGCAGGATGTGTAGTCTCATGACACAGCTGAATTTTGTCATAGAAATATAAGGGAGGATCTGTTTGAGAATAAGTAATATTCTGCTTGCGACCACCATTTTCCTAGCGTGCAAACTACTATTTTGCACATTTAGTGCATTCATTTTTTCCATGTACACTCCCTATGTTGTTTACTTCACTGTTGAATTTTGCTCAGAGATGTTTGTCCATAGGAGTTGCCACCTGCTTACTCTACACTGTTTGCAAGTAAACCTCTCCAAGACATTTGATTTGCATGCAGCTGCTGGAACTTCTGTGGTTTCTGAATTCTGCAATAGTCAAATTGAAAACAAATCGCTCAGTTCTGCACTCTGGCAGTATAATAGTTTAGATTATCTTAGAACAAAGAAGCATTATTAAAGCACACCCTATTATCTTTACATATTTACAAATACAATGTCTTGTTCTCTTCTGTTGATGTGTGAAATATTGCAGCAACGGAAGAGTCAAAGTGAATTGCTCACTGGAAGGAGGTATTTTCACTTTCTTCTGTGGGGCTTTAGTATTTTGTAATTGATCAAAAAACAGCTTAAAACATCATGTTTACAAGCACTGTTCATAATCGTACAAAATTGTATAGATAACTGCTGACATTAATTTTGTATTGCCATCAAATGAGCCAAGTATCTAGCAATTTAAACAATGAAACATTTTCTTCTTCTGCAAAATTACTCAGTTAAGTGTAAAAAGTATATTATATTAATTTATATTATAATAATTTATATTATAATAATTTATATTAATTTCATTACAAATAACAAATCCTTTTCTAATTTTTTTCAGTGCCCCAAAGCAACACAGGCAGTGCATTTGCTTTGAGGTGGCAGGGCAGATGGGTCAGCCTGTGACCTATCTACTGATACTTTAAGTTAGGGAAATGTAAAAACAAAAAATTGGTAAACTGCACCTGAATAAGTACAAGAAGCTTCAGAGAGTGTCTGAATACTGATGTCCAGAAACTGTTTATGATGGCCAGTGATCTCAGTTTCACAAATGTAAATTAAGACTAACTTGTTGGCTGATGAACCACAGAGTGAAAAACAAATACTCAATAAGCTCTAGAGCAGCTCTACCAGTACAGTTAGATTCCATGCGGTAAGACCATCCTTCAGCTTATCAAGTACAAAATTTTGTCACAGGTATAGTGGGTGTTTGTTATACTTAGCTGCATATGCTCCCCATGTTTATAAATTAATTAATATATATATATATCACTGCTAAGATATAATACAATTCTCTCTGTGTAGAAATTTTTTTTCTTTGTTTGACTGGATAGTCATAACTGAAAGCTATCTGGTAATGTGGAGAAGAATGTATATATAAATGCTACAGAAATTGCTAAATTACTGTTCTTTCTCATTTTTTGTTGTGCTGCCTTTGTGAAACAGCTTTGAAGACAAGGTTGGATATCTTTTTCACATACCTTTTTAAAGAGCTTGATTATAATAATGAGCTAAAACATTTACTGAACTTGTGGCTGTTTTTTTTCATCTAGATGTACCATGAAGATACAATGCATTCGCCATGGATGCATGACTCCTTACATGTCTTCTGCGCCATCAGCGGGACATCTGGTGATGGAAGTTATTGTTCACTCAGACCCACTGCTGAAATATAAACATATCAGCATAATTTTACAGAGCTTTCTCAGGAATATTTGGAACTGTACAAAGGATGTTAAAAAAAATCCATGATGCATGAATTTACCATTTTCTTCCTCCAAAGTTACTATGCTTTCAAACAGGGTGCTTGCTTATTTTGCTGAGCAACACTGAAAGTGCCTGGACATTGCACCACTGTGCTTGTTTTCTACCTTTTTTTTTTTTTTTTTTTTAAGTGTATAACAGGACATGAAAGGCAGTTATCTAAGTATGTATTGAATTGCAGAACTATGAATTGGAATGTTAATGGTACTATGTAAAATTGTATAATGGAATATGATAAAATGTAAAACTACTTTGTAAATAGAAGGAACATAGAGTATATAGAAATTAGCACTGTATCATATTTGCTGCTAAAAGCTTTCTCGGGCAGGGAAGATGACGGAGAAGTTGTAAGAGATCTCACTTGTAAGAGATCTTCCTTGTCTAGAAAGTGACAGGGGGTCCAGACACCCCTGTTTCCCTCATATGATGAGAGTAAACTTGTGTTAGTCTGGAATAACTAAAACCTGAATCAGAAATTATAGTTTTTGTACATCCTTTGGGCAGATAATTGTAAAGTGACCTCCGTGAGAACTGAGTATACTATAGATGATTTGAATTTTGGCTAACCTTTCATGTCTCTAAGAGGATGGATTGTAGTCACTAAGGACAACCTAACAAATTTGTCGTTTGATACCAGTTTTTCCTCTTTATCATTCATTGTCTCACACAAATATAAACTCTGAGAACACCTTAAAGTGAGTTGGGCATTATAAAGCGCTTTAATGTCTTTTGATATAATTCTAATAATCTGTGAGATGTGTTTTAAAAAGAAGTGCAGTGCATTGAAATTAAGTAAATCATACATAAATGGTATTGTTTTAACATCATATGACATGCATGTTCCCTCCTGTTAAATAGATCTGCTTTCTGCAAACTTGTTATTTTTGTCCAAGAAGTGGTTGAAGAAAATCTTTTCTCCATAATGCTTTTATTCCATCTTCCCCTCCCTAGAGCTTTAGTACGTTAGCTCTGTCTCCTTTAATAAGACGCTTTCAGATCCAGGAAAGAAGAAAACAGATCAGTAATTGTTTTATCCACCATTTAGATGTCCGTGTTTTTCCAAGTCCCATAAATTGTAAATATGTTTCCAGTAGTTGATATGGGAAGGGGTTTTGTTTGTTTCTTTTTAATGATATGTAACAAAATGCCATAATAAAAGGACTCCAGCCTAGGTATTTAGCTTGGCTATAGTGTCCATAGAACGTTAAGCTTCTAATTTCTGTAACAAAAAGTATCTTCAAATAGTAAATGGACCACATTTCAAAATGCTCATTATGCATGATTCTAAATACCCGAAATTAATTGTCTTTTGAGAAACAAATGTTGTGATCCATACATTCACCCCCTAGCAGTTGCAAGCAACTTATAGATATGCCAGTGTAACAGACAGCTCACAGTTCTGCTTCTATGTGCTTTTATGCTAGGCAAGCCCTAAATTTAGTTTAACAGAAAGAGGAAGAGAGTTTGAATGTTTAAATATGGTTACTACCTTACTGATTTTCATCTTTCAGCAAATAATGTTTAAAGGCAGATAGTGAGAGTTTCCCAAATTACTTTTCTAAAAGGTGATGAAGCTGCTTAATAGTGGATACATTAAAAACCTTGTTTTTGGAGCTAGTAATACTTTAAACATCAGTACTAAAGACCTATTCTGAATACAAGAAGCAATAATGAGAATTCACTAAAATTCATGAACTATCACTCTCTTATCAGTTACATTTTTCTGTAGCAGTTTTCCTGGAATTGCGGTGAAATACTTGGATGTCCGTAATGTTCCAAAATAATGTTTATGGATTGATTTTCATATGTTATTCCCTATTTTTGGTGAAATTCCAGTGAAATTCTTGTTTGTGTGTCTGGATGTCTTTAATGTTCCAAGATGAAATTTTGTCTGAACTTCTAAACCTAATGTTGGTATTGGAGTTATTCTATCATTTCATTTTAATATCAATATGGAAACCTGTCTCAGTAATTCAGTCCCCCCAAAAAAATATTTAATACAAGTCCTTCCTTCTTTGGAAGAATATAAATATTGTTTATTAGCACTTCAGTTTTTCTTATACTGCCTAACTAAGGAACAGTGGGTGTCATTTGGCCTATAATAATTAGTAGACATATTTTAAATTACAAATGGCATGCACACTTTCTAATACCAGTATATCTGCACATATGTATTTTATATATAAGACTTTTTTTATATAGGACTTCTAATAACTTTTGCTGCAAAACTAGTCTCTATCAAGTCTCTAGAACAGATGCATTGGTAATTTAGCAATTACATGATTGTTTGCATAAAGGGAAAAGAAAAAGGGTAAAATGCTTGGCAATGAAGCACTTGACTACTGTCAGTATCCGGATTGTTTTGGATAATAGTATGTGTTAGAGCCAAATTGTTTGCAGAAAGGACATAAAGAGCAATGCAGGGTCTGCCAGCACTTTATATTCAATAAATGCTTTTAGAGATTTATATACCTGTGTGGGATAGCACAGGAAAGCCTAAACATTTCCTGTCATCTCTGACATGCTGTTTTTCTCTCTGCAGAGAGATAAGTAAGTAGTACTTTCAGACTTCAGAGCTACATTTCTTTCCAAAAAAAAAATAAAATAAAATAGTCTGGAACCCAGAATTTACTACAGCCGAGGATATATTTCTATGTGCTACTTGACGTTCTAAATTTCTTCTGAGAATCGACATTTTCTTGAGACAGGGTAATGAATGGGAATCTTGGGTCTGAGAATATCTGTAGTGTGTGAACATGAACATCTTGCTTCAGAAGCCTTTTGAACATATACCACATGGTATTTTGATATAGAATAAGAGTTTACATGGGCATAATGCATTTTGTCTTAAAGTATGTTTGTTTTCCCTTCTTGTAAAGACAGCATCCCATTGACTTTGCAGCAGGCTTCAGAATAAAGGGGAGAAAGAGAGTCTCCCTCTCCAACCTCACTAACACATAAAAAAAAAAAAAAGAGAGAGAGAGAGGAAAACAAGAGGAAAACGTGATTTGCCCACTTTAAGAGTGTAGCATGTGTCTAGGGTGTTTCTTTTGATACTCATTGAGCTAAGTTCTCCTAATAAACAAAGCGATCTTACTGGATTTGGGAATACCATATGCAACTAGTTATTATGCAACCACAGTACTGTAGTACATACCCTTTAGATAATATGCTTGTGTCAAGCAATGGTGAACCAATTATGATATACACCTAATATAATCTAATGTAATCTACTCTCTCTGAATGTAAATAACATCTGCTAGCCCATAGTCATAGCAGAAGTGTTTTTATCGTGCATGTTGCATGTATGTGTGTTGTACAAGCTCTCTTTAACTTTCTGTATGTGATGACAGAATGGTACATACTGTTTGACTTGGTTGTTAACTGGTGTAACTTTGGCACTGAGAAATACACAAAGCTACTCCAGAGAATTCTGACACCAGTGATCCTATATTGCTCTTTTGTTACTGTTTTCTTTTTCTTTAAGAATCAAAAATTTTGACAAGAATCAAGGACAAATTCATATTTCAGTTGATAAAAGAACGGACAGTTTGTTCTAGGTCACACTAAAAGACCATAAAATCAGGAAAAATAAGTGTTGCAATCAGTACACTTTGCGTAGGCTTCCTTTTTTTCCTTCACTGAACAACAGAATGACTTATCTGAAGATAATACCATGCTAAGATTCGTGAAACCTAGCCAAATGTGTTATTGTATACACTGTTAAAAAAAAAAAAAAAAAAAAAAAAAAAACAAAAAAAAAAACAGGGAAAACATAAAGAAAAAAACTTCAAATACATAAGTACACCAAATGTAATCATTAACAGAATCTATCTGACATTTCATTGTCAAATAGAAGCTGTTGATTCAGAAATACCAAAGGAGCATGAATGCCACACATCCTTCTCTGAGCATCCTGGAAATATGATTCTTCAAGAAACCAACAACTGAGACAGGAATGTATACAAATTTATAAATAGAAATAAAGTATGATTCACCCGTGAAGAAATGTCACGGCAAGTCAGCCTACTTTCCTAAAAAGTAAGTTCATGATCATGTTTTTGCTGTGTTTTGTAGTTCCAATTTTCAAACCTACACTTCTGCTCTTTGGGAATATGTTTATGGTTGCTCTACTCCAACTAACTCGGCTTAGATTGCTAGATTCAGTTGCCAGTAAACTAGTAAATATGCCAAGCACAGGCTATTACGTGATGTAATGGAACTCAGTAATACCATTGCTATTTACCTCACACCATCTGATAAAGGACAAATTGCTTTTTCTACTGCTCTCTTCTACCTTCAAGGCTTTCTGTAGAGGGTTCTTGCAAGTCTTGTCAAAACAGCTGCAGAATATTCCTGGCCTCCGTTTGTGAGTTATAAGAGGCAAAGCATTTGCTCTCTTGCTAAATAAATAGACAAGTTAAGCAGACCTTGGCTTTTGGGGAAATGAGCAGAAAAGTTGATGCATGCATTTACAGTAGCTAATTCTTGGAGAGGGACACAATTTTTGCATGAGCATAGTTGGTTCTACATCTATCCCAAAGGGCTCTTCAAGGGAATTGGTTTTTATTCAACATGATTTCTGGATTCCAGTGATGCTTGGGTAGCAGCTCAGAGAGAACTTGCAGAGATTATGGCTGTTTTGAGCACGTGTACTCCAAAACTCTTGACATCCCCCGAAGAATATTGAGGTCAAAAAGGGAGAGGCCCAGTGAGTCAGACCATATTTTTTTCAGCTCACATTTTTGGACTTTTATGGTTCTGATCCAACTGTATTCTAGTTGACTGAGCTCCTTTTTTAATTGACCCCAGCCATCTTTTGAAAAGCTTGTAATTGTGACAGGTAAGATCTAAGGTATTCACAGAAGTTGCTGCAAAATCAGAAATTATAAAGGAGGAATTTCATGGTCAGTGTGGGGCAACTGAAGACTTCTGCTCCCAGATGGGACAATCCCATACTCCCTCCCCTTTCTCCTCCCCCCCACACACTGCTAATTACTGCTGCCTCTTCTTGCACCTAGTAATCATGCAGTCACACGGATTAGACTCATTTATTAATCTGATTTAGAGAACACATAGAGAAATATATATATATATGTTTTTTGTTTGTTTTTTTTTGTTTGTTTGTTTAATGCATCAGCAGACTTGCTACACAGCCTATAATCTCTATCTTAACATGGGTGGAAATGGCAAGAACACACAGCCACAGGCAGATCAGCAGTATAATCTTAAACCAGTTTACACCAAATATGATGCCATGTGCCAAGTAGCTATTTAATAGTCTTTTAGAAATACCTCAGGTGTGCCTGTCATGAGTTTGTCACTGTGTCACGAACTGTATTATCTAAGAACATCAGGAAGCATGAGATTCACAACAGAAAGATGCAGGACAGGACTCACTGGGATTGAGAAACAAAGTCTTGGGGAGGTGGTAAGGATCAAAGGGTTTGGCATGAGCTCTGATTGCCGTGCAATGGAACATGGGAGGGGAAAGTGACGACAGGCTGAGTGAGGGGGAAGAAGCCTGCCGGTGAAAAACATTTCAACTGCCTCCAACTATGGGCAGGCAGCCAAAAGCATGCTAAGCATTGGATGTGGGCTTGGCACTGTGTCCCCCAAGAGCAGGAGTGGACAAAACAGAAAGAAGGAAGGAAAGAAAACATTAACAAGGAAACTGAAAGCAAGGGAGAGGTCACTGGGTCTCAGATCAGTTTTAGTCTACGAAGGTCATCTGTAGCAACCATAGTCCACACCAGCTACGCGCAGTTATACAGCCTGACAGGTAAATTCATGTCCTGGAACTTTAAGTCACACTTTCCATTAGTTTATAATTCCAGGTCTTTGGGTGCTTTCTAGCACCAACTAGGAAATTTGCTAAATCCTCTTGTTTTCCCGGGAGTATAATAACAAACAGGCAGAAAAGAAAATTTACAGCATTAACACAGGATATTCCCCACCCTATTATAAAAAGATCTGCTTCCCTTTTTCTAAAATGAGTCTCTAAAAAGCAGATGAACTCTTGCAAAACTCCTTGAAGAGCTGAGTAAATACCAAACAGTGCAGTTGACTTAGGAATAATAATTTTCACTAATTAATTTCAGTTTGCCCTGAAATTTAGCCAAAGTTTCCTTTCTGCTTCTTCTGTGCTTTTTTATACCTGTATTTGGGTGACAACTAGGAGCAAACTTGCTAGCTACCACAAAAATCTAGGTTCTGAAGAAAACACCTTATCCCAATTTTTTTCTTATCCTGGAACATACCAAAAGATCACTTGTGTGATATTCCACCTCTGTGGAAATCTGGGAATACTGCTGCCATATTACACTAGTAGAAATGAGGGCACTAGTGCAAGCGCCCATATCATGCTTGCAAAAGAGCTGAAGAAGAGGAAGTTTGGGGATGTTTGTAGAAGACAAGCATCAGTAGTAGTAGATCAGAAAATGAAGTATATGTACTATATGTACGTTTAGTACAGATGAGAACTCTAGCAATGTCATGAATTTGCAGGAGGGATTGGGAAGAAGGGAGTTCTGCTGGGAGGGGGATTGAATAACTAGGTGTAACATCAAGAGAACTACTAGGGGACTTGCTAACATATTTTCCTGGTGAGAAGATATTAATGTCTTGGGCACATTTCAATAGTAGTAGGTGACAAGTATAGGTCTGGTTGTAAAAGAAAAATTACTTTGACCCTCAAAACAAGATCTTGCAGAGTACTGCTCCAGGGAACTTGTCCTTGAGCATGGCATGAAGGCAAGTAGCAAGGTGTTGGGGGAAAGTGCAGTCGACATACGTTGGGGTGCCACTGGAGCAGGGGAAACAGCCTGGAGCCTCAGGGTGCCTGTGGTCCCCGGACAGCGATGCACAGACAGCATTCTGGAGCCTGGAGCACCGACGAAGTTCTGGTTTGGTGGCAAGGCTGTAGCAGGGCATGGGGAAGACCCCTGGGAAACACAGAAGGCGCCGGGGACAGGAAAAGTGGCTCGGTGGCAGGGCTGCTCGAGGAATCGATGGGCAGCAAAGACACCCAGCACGGGCAGGGGGTGCGCGGGGGGCAGTCACGGGGCGGCAACAGAGGGAGCTGGGGGGCAGTGGAAGGGCTAGGACCCGGCCCCACAGGGGAAGTCCTCCCGGCGGGGCAGCCACAGCCCGCACCCTCAGGTGCGGGGCAGCAGAGCCGGGCCGGGGGCGGCCCAGGTAGCAGGGGCGGGGCGGCTGCCACCGCCCTGCCGAGGCCGCTCCCCGCTCGGCTCGGGTTACCTGGGCGGGCCGCGCCGCGGCTCTTCCCGTCTGGCCCGGCCCCCGCTACGGGAAGTGGGAGTCAGGGGCGCGCTCGGACGGCCGGGACGGCGGAGCCATGGATCCCTCCGGTCCCTTCGGAGCTGCACTGCGGGGCTGGCTGCTCCTCGCCGTCTGCTGGGCGGTGGCAGCGGTGGCGGCGGCAGGTGAGGAGCTGGCCGGGCTGGGGCTGGGGCGGGGGGCGGCGGCGGTGGGACCCCCGGCGGTTGCGAGCAGCGCGCCGGGCTCGCTCCGCTCCGCTGCCGGCTCTGCTGCCGGCACCGCCGCTTCGCCGCCGAGCGCTTCGCCCGCGGGGCCGGGGCCGAGGTGGCTTCGCTGCCGGCCCCAGCCCGTAACCGGCTCGGGGGCCCCTCGGGGCGAAACGTCCGGCGGCGAAGCGGCGGTGCCGGCAGCGCCGTGCGGGGATCTGGGGATCTGGCGCTGCCGAGCGGCTGTGGGGCTGGTGCGGGCCGTATGGCCGGCGCGGGGACCTTGGTGTCCGCGTCCTGAAGTCCAGCGCTTTCGTTTCGTGGTGGAAATTGCCTAAGCTTTGGACTCGGAGCGTCCTCGGCGTCTTACAAGACAGGGGAAAGGGGATGCGTACAACTCCCCTCTTCTTTCTCTCTAAGGCAGCGTTTGACAGGGGTGGCGAATACCTTTAAACTCTGTCTTCGGTTCCCGGGGCTGTTTCTGTC